AATTGTCAAAAAAGAAATGGGATGAATGCATAAAGATCAATATCCTAGGCATTAGTGAGCTGAAATGGCGTGGTATTGGCCATTTTGAATCAGACAATTATATGGTCTACTATGCCTGGATGACAAATTCAGGAGGAACAGCATCACATTTCATTGCCAAAAACAACATTTCAAGATCTTTCCTTTAAAGATCACAATGCTGTCAGTGATAGGATAATATTCATACATCTACAAGGAAGACCAGTTAATATGAGTGTTATTCAAATTTATACACCAACCACTAAAGCCAAATATGAAAAAATTGAAGATTTTTATCAACTTGGGCAGTCTGGACTTGATCAAACATGCAGTCAAGATGCAATGATAATGACTGGTGTTTGGAATGTGAAAGTTGGAAACAAGATGGAACACCAGTTGGAAAATAAGGCCTTGGTAATAGAAATGATGTATGATAGAATTCTGCAAGACTAACTACTTATTCATTGCAAATACCTTCTTTTTCAACAAAATAAATGGTGACTATACACATGGAGCTTGCTGGATGGAATAAACAGGAATTAAATAGACTATATCAATGGAAAGAGATGATGGAGAGGCTCAATATCATCAGAACAAAGCCAGGGGATGACTGTGCAACAGACCACCAATTGATCATTTGGAAGTTTAAATTGAAGCTGAAGAAAATGAAAACAAGTCCTTGAGAGCCAAAGTAACACCTTGACTATATCCCATCTGAATATAGAAGTCATCTCAAGAGTAGATTTGACACTAATGACCAAACACCAGATGAGCTGTGGAATGATATCAAGGACATCATACATGAAGAAAGTAAAAGGTCATTAAAAAGATAGGAGAGAAAGAAAAGACAAAAATAAATGTCAAAGGAGACTGTGAAACTTTCTGTTGAACATAGAGTAGCTAAAGTGAATAGAAGAAATTATGAAATAAAAGAACTGAGCAGAAGATACCAAAGGGTGACTCGAGAAGACAAAGTAAAGTATTATAATGAAATGTGAAAAGACCTGGAGTTAGATAACCAAAACAGAAGAACTTGCTTGGCATTTCTCAAGCTGAAAGAACTGGTGAAAAATTGCAAGCTTCAAGTTGCAATATTGAAGGATCCTATGGACAAAATATTGAACAATGCAGGAAGCATCAAAAGAAGATGGAAGGACTACAAAGGTCACTGTACCAAGAAGAATTGGTTGACATTCAACAATTTCAGGAGGTAGCATGAGATCAAGAACTGATACTATTGAAGAAAGATGTCCAAGCTGCACTGAAGGAATTGGTGAAAAACAAGCCTCCAGGAATAGATGGAATACCCACTGAGATGTTTCAACAAACAGATGCAGTCCTGGAAGCACTTATACTCATTTATAACAAGACATTTGGAAGAGAGGTACCTAGCCAACTGATTCAAAGAGATCCATGTTTGTGCTCATTCCAAATAAAAGTGATCAAACAGATGCAGAAATTATTGAAGAATATCATTAATATCACATGCAAGTAAAATTTTGCTGAAAATAATTCAAAAATGGTTGCATCAGTACATAGACAGGGAACTGCCTAGATTCAGAAGAGGATGTGGAATGAGGGCTATCATTGCTGATGTCAGATGGGTCTTGGTTGTAAGCAGAGAATACCAGAAAGATGTTTACCTGTGTTTTATTGACTATACAAAGTCATTTGATTGTGTGGATCATAACCAATTATGGATGACTTTGGAAAGAATGGGAATTCCCAAACACTGAATTGGGCTCATGAGAATATGTACGTAGACCAAGAGGCAGTCATTTGAACAGAACAAGGGGATACTGCATGGTTTAAAATCAGGAAAGGTGTACATCAGAGTCTACATTTTCCCCGTACTTATTCAATCAATATGCTGAACATATCATCAGAGAAATTGGACTATATGAAGAAGAATGTGGCATCATGATTGGAGGAAGATTCATTAAGAATCTGCAATATGCAGATGACACAACCTTGCTTGCTAAAAGTGAAGATTTGAAGCACAAAGACTACAGCCTTCAGTGTGGATTGTTGTTGTTGTTGTTAAGTGCCGTGGAGTTGCTTCTGACTCATAGCGACCCCATGCACAGCAGAACGAAACACTGCCCAATCCCGCACCAGCCCCACAATCCCTGCTATACTTGAGCCCATCATCGCAGCCACCGTGTCAATCCATCTCATTGAAGGCCTCCCCCTCTTTCATTGACCCTCAACCCTACTAAGCATGACATCCTTCTCCAGGGAATGGTCCCTTCTTACAACATGACCAAAATAGGTGAGACGAAGTCTGGCCATTCTCACTTCCAAGGAGCATTCTGGCTGCACTTCCTCCAGGACAGATCTGTTAGTTCTTTTAGCAGTCCATGGTACTTTCAGCATTCTTCGCCAGCACCACAACTCAAAAGCATCAACTCTTCTTCGGTCTTCCTTATTCATTGTCCAGCTCTCACATGCATACGAGGCGATTAGAAATATCATGGCTTGTGTCAGGCACACCTTAGTCCTCAAGGAGATATCCTTGCTCCTCAGCACTTGATACAGCTCCTTCGCAATTGACTTTCCCAATGCTACACGTCGTCTAATGTCCTGACTACTGCTTCCATTGACATCATGTGGATTATACCTCAATATAAAGAAAACAAAAATCCTCACAACAAAACCAATAAGCAACATCATTGTAAATGGAGAAAAGATTGAAGTTGCCAAGGATTTCATTTTACTTAGATCCACAATCAATGCCTATGGAAGCAACAGCCAAGAAATCAAATGACATAGTGCATTCGGCAAATCTGTTGCAAAAGACCTCTTTAAAATGTTAAAGAGCAAAGATGTCACTTTGAAGACAGAAGCATCTGACTCAAGCCAGGTATTTTCAATAACCTTGTATCACATAGTGCCTAAGGCATTTGACTGCTAACCAGAAGGCTGGTGGTTCAAACCCACCAGCCACACCTCAGAAGGAAGGTTGGGCAAGCTACAACAGTGGGCTCAAGCATAACAAGAATTGTGAGGATTTCACAGGACCAGGCAGTGTTTCATTCTGTTGTGCGTAGGGTCATGATGTGTTGAAACCTACTCAATGGCACCAAACAACAACAACATGTGAAAAATATGGGCTCAAGTATAGCAATGATTGTGATGATGGGGGAGGACTGGGCAGAGTTTCATTCTTTTGTATATAGGGTCACTATGAATGGAACTGACTTGATGGTATCTAACAACAATGAGCAAAATATGGAGTAATGCAGGAAGTATTAGAAGAAGATGGAAGGAATACACAGAGTTTCACTGTACCAAAAAGACCTGGTCAATGTTCAACCATTTCAGAAGGTAGCATATGATCAAGAAATGATCATAGTGAAGGAAGAAATCAAGGTTGCATTGAAGACATTGGCAACAAACCAGGCTCCAGGAATTGTTGAATATCAATTGAAATGTTTCAACAAATGGATGTAACACAGGAAATGCTCACTTGTCCATGCCAAGAAATTTGGAAGACAGCTACCTTAGCAAATGACTTGAAGAGATCCATATTTCTGCCATTAAAAGATGATACAACAGAATGTGGAAATTATTGAACAATATTATTAATATCACACACAGGTAGAATTTTTTCTGAAGATAATTTAAAAATGGTTGTAGCAATACATCGACAGGGAACTGCCAGAAATTCAAGCTGGTTTCAGAAGAAGATGTGGAACAAGAGATATCATTGCTGATGTCAGATGGAACTTGGCTTAAAGCAAAGTATACCAAATGATGTTTACCAATGTTTTACTCACTATGCAAAGGCATTCACTTGTGCGGATCATAACAAATTATGGACACCATTACGAAGAGTGGGAATTCCAGAACACTTAACTGTGCTTATGTGGAAGCTGTTTGTAGACCAAGAGTCAGTACAAACAGAATGAGAGGATACTGCATGGTTTAAAATCAGGAAATGTCTCTGTGAGGGTTGTATCCTTATTCAGTCTGTATGCCGAGTGAATAATCCACAAAGCTGGACTATATGAACAACATGGCATCAGGTTTGGAGGAAGAATCATTAACAACCTGCAGTATGCAGATGACACAATCTTGCTTGCTGAAAACAAAGAGGACTTGATGCCCTTATGGATGAAGATCAAAGACTACAGCCTTCAGTGTGGTTTACACCTCAACATAAAGAAAACAAACAAACAAACAAAATCCTCACAGTTGGACCAGTAAATCAACATCATGATAAATGCAGAAAATATTGAAATTGTCAAGGATTTCATTTTACTTGGATCCATAATCAATGCCCATGGAAGCATCAGTCAAGAAATCAAATGACTTATTACACTGGGAGAATCTACTGCCAAAGACCTCCTGAAAGTGTTAAAGAACAATGATGTCACTTTGAAAAGTAAGGTGAACCTAACCAAAGTCATGGTTTTTTCAGTTGCTTCATGTGCATGTGAAAGCTGGACAGTGAACAAAAATTGAAGGAGAATTGCTGGCTTTGAATTATGGTGTTGACAAAGAATATTTACTATACCACAGACTGCCAGAAGAATGAACAAATCTGTCTTGGAAGATATACAGCCAGAATGCTTCTTAGAAGTGGGGATGGTGAGACTTCATCTCATGACTTTGGACATGTTACCAGAAGGTACCAGTTCCTGGAGAAGGGCATCATGCTTGGAAAAGTAGAGGGTCAACAAAAAAGAGGAAGACCCTCAATGAAAAGGATTGTCACAGTGGCTGCAACAGTGACAAGCATAGCACTGATTGTGGGTGTGGCACAGGATTGGACAGTGTTTTGTTTTGTTGTTTATAGGTTTGCTATGAGTTAGAACTGATTTAACAGCACCTAACAACCAGAATATAAACTCTGTGTGTAGGGATCATTTCTAAGTGTGCTCATCATCAAATCCTCAGCATTTGGGTCAGTGCTATGAAAACGTAGTTGCTCAGTACTTTTTTGAATGGATGGATGACTATTTCTTTGTTATATTTAGGTAGAAGAAGAAGAACCCACTGGATACATTCGGTTAGAAAAATTTCTTCCAGTGATGACTGAAGTACTATTGGAAAGAAGGTAAATAATTAAATACAATTGTTAAGACAAATTAATGATTAGAATTAAATTGTTAATTTCAAAACATTTTGCATTTTCACTTTGTATATTCAACCAATATTTATATTAAGGTAGTTCCTTCTACCTTACTTTCCTTTCACCATACTTCTGAACTTCCAGTTGTTATGTGCTTAGAAATATCAACTACTTTAGAATTAATCTAAACAAACAAACAAACAAGCAAAACCAAACTCGCTGCCATCGAGTTGATTTGACTCAGAGCGACTCCTCCTTGGATTTCCAAGGCGGTATCTTGATGGAAGGAGATTGCCCAGTTTTCCTTCTGAAGAGTGCCTGGTGGGTTTGACTGCCAGCCTTCTGGTTAGCAGTGCCTTAGGCACTATGGACCAGAGCTCCTAAATTAAGGGGAACTAAGCTGCAAAAAGAAGCTCTGGTAGCATAGTGCCTAAGGCATTTGACTGCTAACCAAAAGGCTGGTGGTTCAAACCCACCAGCCACTCCTTGGAAGGAAGGTTGGGCAATCTACTTCCATAGTGATAACGCCTCGGAAATCCAAGGAGGGGTTGCTATGAGTTGAGTGCAACTCTACGGCAAATAACAACAACAACAAATTTTGAGTAACCTATGATAAATAAGAATTAATCCTAATTATTTTTCTAGCAAAAGTGTAGCTTTAGCTTATTATAATTGTTTTATAGAAGAGGTTGTGTTCCCAGATAAACTGATTTCCATAATGATGGATACAGCTAATAGATAATATCAGATATGCCAGGGATTTTGAGCTAAGTATTTCTTGTGAGGGTGAGGTTCCTTCAACTTTCATATCCAGCAATCCAAAAAGATTTCAGAAAAGGAAGTTTAATTAAACCAATATATTTACAGCTTTTATTTTGTTTTATGTAGTCTTTATTATGTAGAGGCTGAAGATAAATACTATGGCCCTTATTTCTCTTACTGCATAATTACAGATACAGACCAATTCCAGAAGATGTCCTTCTTCATGCTTTTGAGGTATATAATCCCCAGATTTTTTATATTAATGTATATTTATATGAAAAGTTGATAATGTAGAATTTACTCATCAAAAAAAGTTATTATATTTACACCTTTTTCCCCCTAGGTATTAGATCCAGCTAAACGTGGGTTTCTCACTAAGGAGGAACTGATCAAGTATATGACTGAAGAAGGTAAGAGTAATTTATTACTGATCTTATTACTGAGATGAATAATTTTAACAGCAATTATGTGTAGCAAAAACTATATGTGAGATAAGAGGATACTTTAAAATCAATCATTATGACTAAGAAGAGTTATTAATATTCCTCTTATTTTGGTTTTGGAGTAAGAGAGCAAAGGGTAGGGCAAGAAGAGATGGGTTCTTGACTCATAGGATTTTATGAAGTATAATGATTGCTTCTATAAATTGCAGACATTCCACTCACTTAAGCGTATTTCCAGACCAGTATGTATTCCACCTGAAACTATGAACTATCAATTACTATAAATCAACACCAGTTGTTTTCCCTGAATGTCAGTAGACTGATGGACATTCTCTTGATACTATTCTTTTTTTTAATTTATTTATTTTTATTTGGGTGAAGATTTACAGAGCAAATTCACTTTCCATACAGCAGTTCACATATACTTTGTCTCAGGTCACTGACCACAGTTTACCACAATGCAACAGCTCCCCTCCCACTTCCTCCCCATAGTTACCTCTTCCCAGTGACCATCCCTCCATACTCTCCTGTGCCCTA